GAAATGATCACAAAAGTCTACAGGATGGATGGGATCTTCCAAAGTGTATGGAGGGTCCAGGTAGAAGTGCTCACAGTGCAATTGTGGACATGATTTTCTGAGTCTGAGAGAGTTTTCAGCCTCTCAGTGGCTGATCTGTTCCCAGGGGAAAGTTTCTTGAGAACAGTTTTCTCTCAAGGACTGTTTTATGTAAATGGGTTTTTGGTTCCCAAAACAGTGGTGTACAGATGTCCTGAATGTGTTTCTCTTGTTCCACCAATGGGACAAGAGAGGTGTTGTTCCCTTTACCAATCATGTTAAACCTGTATCAGAACACCTTATAAAAGGGGATGAGAAACCCCAAATAAAGCCTTCTTTGGGTGAAAACCTCTGCCTGCTGTGATTGAATCCACACTTCTATTTCACGTCCACTAGTGACAGGCCACTTTGCATCATTTACCAGCACATCTTTCTCTATGGAAAGGCCCCAGGTGATTGCTTTTTAGCCAGTGTGACACTTGTCTTCCAGAAGGGCCAGAAGGTGCATCCAGGGAGCTATAGGCCTGTCAGCCTGACCTCAGAGCCAGGGAAGGTCATGGAGCAGCTCATCCTGGGTGCTGTCATGCAGCACATCCTGGACAACCAGGGGATCAGACAGGGGTTCAGGAAAGGCAGGTCCTGCTTGACCAACCTGACCTCCTCTGACAAGGTGACCCACTTAGTGGATGAGGGAAAGGCTGTAGCTCTTGTCTGTCTGCCTGGACTGCAGCAAAGACTTTGAAAATGTTTCCCACAACATTCTGCTGGAGAAACTGGCTGCTCATGGCTTGGATGAATATCATGTCCAGCAGGAGCAGGGCAGGGATTGTCCCCTGTGCTGGGCACTGGTGAGGCCACACCTGGAGTGCTGTGCCCAGCTCTGGGCCCCTCAGTTTAGGAAGGACATTGAGGGGCTGGAGCGAGTCCAGAGAAGGGAACTGAGCTGGGGAAGGGTCTGGAGCACAAGTCCTGTGAGGAGCAGCTGAGGGAGCTGGGGATGTTCAGCCTGGAGAGGAGGCTGAGGAGGAACATGTCTCTTTTTATTATTGCCTGAAAGGATGGAGCAAGGTGTGGGCTGATCTCTTCTCCCAAATAACCAGCAAAAGGACAAGAAGAAATGACCCCAAAGAAACCCAGGGGAGGTTTAGATTGAAAATTAGGGAAAATTTCTTCACTGAAAATGTTGTCAAGCACTAGAATGGGCTCCTCATGGAAGTGCTTGAGTCACCATTGCTGGAGGTATTTAAAAGCTGTGTAGAAGTGGCACTTAAGGACAGGGTTAAGTGATGGACCTGGCAGTGCTGGTTTAATGGTTGGACCTGATGGTGATAGAAGTCTTTTCCAGTCTAAATAATTCTATGATTCTATAACCATAAGGGTCTGAACCAGTTACCAGATACTTTTGCCAAATTAGAACTGTGGGAAATCACAGAAGTAAGGTCTCTTATGCTTGAGAAAATCTTGTTTAATGTATTTAATGACCCGAAAAATAGTTATAAAAGCAGGACAATATGAGACTGTAAAATGCTAGAAGAAATTATGTGTTAATGAACATAAAGTAGTACATGTGAGGAGGTAAAGGGAACTGAAGCACAATTTCTTTCTTCACATGTATATTGAACTCTACACTATGTATTATCACTCATGGAAAAAATTCTGAAATCAAAATAAGTCTGTTTTCAGAAAGGTAAAAATGAAACAGCTCTCTGGAAAAACACTTTAGTAAAAAAAAAAAATAAATTTAAGAATTGTTGGATAATAGGGACTGTCCAGGAGATGTGCTTCAAATGTATAAATTTACCCAAATCTTGTGTCCTGTTTTCCCCATGACATCTTGGGACATAGGGAAACTACAAAAAAGCTTTTTGAAAAGTAAGTGAATGATCAGAAGGTTTGGAATGATTGGAATACTGTCTATAAGGGGACAGACTAGATAGACTGAGTTTCTATACCATGGAAATAAGATAACATAGAGAAGATGGGATAGAACAAACAAAATAATGAATTGCATGAAGAGGGTGTATACAGAACCATAATTTCATTTGCAGAATCTCAGAATATAGCAACTAAACTGTGTACAGATCTCCAGGCAGCAAGTTTAAAATAAACAATAAGAAACACTTTTTCCTACAAAACAATAAACAATGTGAGACACTGCCACTAGATGTTGCAAAGGCCAAAAGTTTAACTGAGTTCAAAAAGGGATTAATGGCTACTTTTGTTTCATGAATTGTAAAAGCATCCTACTCAGACACAACTTCTGGCTGAGGAAGTTCCTAAACCACTAATTGCCAGAAGATGGGAAGGAGGGGTTGCTCAGCTCTTGCCACACTTCTTATAATCTTTCCTTATGCATCTCCTAATGGGCATGTTGGGACCAGGATAATGGGCTAAACAGAGTTTGTTTGGTTTTTTTGTCTGAACCATTAGGGTTGTTTTTATTTTGTAGGCGTAGATTTTTTATTTTTTTTTTCAGTAATGGGGAGACAAAATGGAAATTTCCATTTTCCAAACTTGTTTTTTTGAATTCAGTAAATGCCATCTGGAATATGATTCTTAATAGCTAATTAGGGATGATCATACTTTTTTGATTTCCTCATTTTAATATGTAAAAAATGAGTCTACAAATTCATCTGCAGAATGCTTAAGAAATTTTTTTCTAAATAATCTCCAGTGAGATTTGGATGAAGGTGAATTATTTATGTATTTCATTCAAGTAATAATGATGTGTGTCTAATTTAAAGGACAATGTGTCAGAAAAGCTGACATATTTAGCAGGGGAAGTTTTTTGTCTGGTCCTGTTTCTGTTCTGTCTTGTTTCTGGTCCTGGTTTCTGTTTCTGGCCCTCTAGAAGGAGATTAATGGTATTATTTTTTGCTCTTGTTGTCAGTTAAGGAATACTAAGTTTCAGTGAAAGAATATCCTACATTCTACAGTTGTACTTCTGGCAATTAGTAGGAACAGAAGCAAACAAGGAGAGTTTCTTTAACATCTATGCTTTTTCTTTTTCTTTTTTTTTTTTTCTTGTACAATTCGTATTACCTTTTTTTTCTTCTTAGAGTGTAGAATGGCTTTTGGGACTAAAGGAAATACAAATTAGATTTTTGTTGTTTATTTTTTCTTTTTTTTTTCCTCACTAACTTTCTATTTTAGTTTTTTGCCCATGTTAATTTATAATGTAGAGGTTTATTTCTACTTACTAAACAGAGATTTAATTAATTGTCACAGTGCACTTTGGAAATGAAAGATACATTACTCTGTGTCAAATGAGTTTATCCTGTTCTGCATGCAAACTATGCACATGGTTATAAATCATGGTCTCAAACTTCTAAAGTTGTTGTTTTTGTTTATTAGGAAACCTTGCTTCAGATCCAAAAAGGCAATAAGGAGACTACACATAGCAAGAAGAAAGTGGGCCTCAATCGATCATGAAATGCAATTACACAATATTCAGAGCTGAGTGAAATAAAGACCTTAAATAGCAATAGCCTGCAAAGTTCAAAATTAAAAGTAGTTTCATCATATATTGTGAAAAGGGAGATTGGATCAATGAAACTGATCTCTTGTATCTTGTTTGTTGTCAATTTACATGAAACAATATTTGAGGTGAGCCTCCTTTTCCTGTGTATGCAAATACATTTTGTTTATTTATGGAATATTACTGGACTGATCTGGCAGGAGATTTCTTGAGTTCAGCTGGTGCTCACTGTATAAATGGAAGCACAAGAATTGAAAAAGGCTTCCACCTGGTCCTCCTTAGCTAATGTAATTGCAGATTTTGGTCTAGCAGTATGGCTTGTAGAACAGAACAGAACGTTACTGCTGTGTTGCTGAGTTGCAATTAATCAGCATCTGAATTAAAAGAATAAGGTCTATAATACAAACTTTCTTTTGGCCCTTTCTGGTATAGCATCATAAAATCTGAACATAGATTGGAAATGTTGACAGAAGATAGACAACAATCTATTACACTGTCATATTAACTGTAGGATACCAATATAAGCTAGAAAAAAATATTTAAATCCATTTTCTCTTGTTTTCACTTAATCTAATTCTACCTTTCATTTTCAATTCTTTGGAAAACTTAAGTGTGATTTGGGTGAGAATTAAGGTATTTTTATTAGAATCTGGTGCCTTATAAGAAAAAAATTTAGGCATCTTCATCTCAAGACTCTGAAATTTGTGATCCCTCAAAAAATGAGCTCAGAATCCGTGCAACTTCTGCTTCATGTAGCACATTTTACTGGCTGGAGGGTGCAAGGGCACAAAATGCAGGCTCACTGCCCTTGTGTCAGGCTGCACTTGTCAAGAAGCTTTTCATCCCTACTGGTTCACATCATATTTGTTGTAGTGTAAAAAATGTGCTTTGGAAGTCAGTGTGCAAATTGTACAGAGAGCAGTGAGAAATAAGGAGGAAGGTAAAGGTCTGGTCAGGAAGTAGAATCCAGCTGAAGTTTAAGGGATTGTGACATGGAACAAATAGATATTGCTGGCAGTATTGTTCAGTGTCTTGGTTCGGCTGTGTAAGTTTGGAAGGGCTTTGGAGAGATGCTGCAAGGTAAAATTTTATTTTAAGCACTTGATAGGCCAAGTGTCTAGAAAATCCTGATAGTCCCATAAACAAGTAAACACCCGTAACTTTGCTCCTTCTCCCATCTTAAACTCAGAATGTACAAGAAACATTTTCCCCAAAAAACATAATCAAAACTTCTTTTTACTTATCTCTAATATCCACTGATTTTTCAGATACCATTTTATAACAGAGTATGTGGCGTAAAAGAGATTAGAAATCCAGAACTTGCTTTTGGAGTGAAAAGCTAAATGTGTCACTGTGTTACTGCAAGTAAGCTGTTTGTTCAATTATTTGCCTTTTGTCAACCAATTGCAACCTAGTAGTGAGTGCAGCTGTATGGTGCTGGTGGTGGTTATTCTAAGGTTGTTTTGCTTTTCCTCATTCTTCCCTCTCCTTCTTTGCCTTCCAGCCTGCACCTAATCCAGGTGGACTCTGTTCAGCGATGGATGGAAGACCTGAAGTTGATGACAGACTGTGAATGTATGTGCATTCTCCAGTCCAAGCCCATCAGCATTGAGAAGGACGAGCAAAATGAACTCATCCTTTCCTCACAGCACAGCACTTGTGATAACTTGCAGCTTCTGCTGAAGAGGGCTTGGATCATCAGCACCGAGCTGACCAGGATTGCTCAGAAGCTGGAGAAGAACAGGTGGCAGAGGGTGCACAGCATGACGGTGAGAGTCAACTGCCACGTGCGTTCCATGATAAACGAGTACAACACCTTCACCAGGAGCTCTTCAGAAGAAATGCACCAGGTGAGAGGATGCCTTAGCTGTGATGTCATGTTACTCTCACTTTTTTGAATTTTTGTTTTATTGTAATAATTAAAACTTGCTTTAAACAATCTGTAAAAAAATCTTGCATACTGGTACTGGTCCCCTGTTTAAGACTTTCCAATCCCTTTTTACCTATGGAAATATTCTTGACTTACTTTGGATCCTATTTTATCATCAGCTGTTCTGAATGTTAATAATGCTGACAAACTGCATGGAAATAATGTTTTGCTTTTGAGGACTAAGTATTTTGGCACCCCATCTCTGAGTTCCTTTGCATTTAAAATACAGAAAATGATACTTTTTTGTTAACCTCAGTTTTATCTCTATCTGTTTTATTCAGAAAAGTAGATGAAAGGTGATCATATGAAATATTATGTTTCAAGAGGGTTTTTGATTAATAAACAAGGATTATTTAATTTTGTAAAGCAATTGCGTGTATGGATATAACTTTAAAACCACTTTATCTTGCTCTCTCTGCAGCTTGAAAAGCTTTTAATAGACAAGTGTTCAGAATTTACAGCATTCACAGAAAGGTAACTTAAATTTTGTAGTTGAAACATTAATTTTGGTGTTTTATTATGTTGTAGAACTTCTAATGAGAAGCACAAATCCATAGGCACCCTTAATTTTTTGAACTAGGCTGCTGTGCTGCTACAAGGCTTTCTAAATGTTGTTTAATGTCTAAATGTCTAAATCTCCAGTGCATGAAGTAAGTTGCTTTTATCTAAACGGCATCCTAATGAAAGATGGGATCTGCTGTTGCACAGAGTCTGACATAGGTGCAAAGCTGCATGCAAGTGGATTTTTCAGGACTTTTAGACATCAAGGGAGAAAGTCTGGCTGTGACAGATATCAGTGACAAAGTTCCCTTCTAGTTCTGTGGAGTTGGGATTTCAGCTGTGTGAAAACTTGGGTTTTGAGGCTCGTACTACGTGTTCCTGTATGAGCACATCCATGCATTGGAAATCAAACCAAAGTAAAGATACATTCCTTTAAACTGTAGGTATAGGTTTATTCATCTCCCTGCACCTTGGAATGCTGAGACTGGAAAACAAAAATCTCCGTAATTCTTCTCATGCTATTTCCACTTTCTAACATAAGTTACCCATTTCCTCCAGCACAGTTCAACCACTCTCTTTTGGTTTGCTTTAAACATTGTGCAAGTCAATCTGTTTTGGGGATATCATCAGGGGAAAAAAAAAGATCCAATTATCAGGAAATAAATTTTTTTGGAGAACTATTGCTTTTTGGCAAACCCACACCACTCACTTTGTGTTTTATATTCTGCTATGAGACATGTTGATTTAATAATGAGCTTCAATCTCAAATTGTCTGTCCCAAGTCAGCCCTCTCCCTTCTTGTCATTTTGATAAAAAAATTATATAGGTGGCTGACAGACAGATGAAGCTCAAAAGGTGACATGTGTGTAGGTAGAGAGGCTGATCCCCCAAACTGTATCTTCCATTACAGTGGCCTGCCTGGGTGGAAGATGTTTTGATGATACAAATTAATGTGTTTCTGTGAGGAAGTATTCATTATTTTATTTGAATTGTATAAAGTTTTCCATCTTCATCTCATTTCTTCAATTATAGCCAAACATCACTGGTTACAGGATAACTGTACCAACTCTGTAAAGGTATCTTTCTGTATGGAGGGCTAAATTCAATTTTTGATTATGCTGTTTAACTCATCTGGACACACATTTCTTTCTTCATCCTTATCCTGCTATCATTAAACTATGACAAAGAAGGTAAAGAAAAGAAAATTACTAAAAGCCCTTCATTGATCATGAAAGATGGGTGGATATGCACAGCTGCAGTTGAAATGCAAGCACCCAAGAGTGAAACTTTCAGCATAAGAGGAAAAGAGCAGTGTTGCACTGTATAAACACACAGCATCTGCAGCAAAATTTGGCCTGCAGTCTGTGAGGTAAATTGTCATCCCAAAATTATTCAGTAGTGTCCACTGTTATCCTTTCATGGTATATTTACTCTGTGTAGACAAAGCTTTGATTGAAGTCTGGAATGATGCTAATGACACAAGCTCCTTGTGAACAGCTGAATTCCAGTTATATCCTGTGATTAACATAGGCCTCACCTCTGACAATCAGGTCTGTTACATCTTTTTTTCCTTCATCTTTTTCCCATCTCTTTCTTTTCAGGTGCTTACAGACAGAAGATAAAGAGATTCTGAAGTCCATGAAATCTTGTGTTAATGAAACACTCACAACCGTTGCCCAGTATTTTGGCCAGCTGATAGAGCTGGTTTTAACACAAGAGGCACAGGTTAGTTCATAGTAAAAAAAACCCAAACCAAAAAGGTCTTCTAAAATTGTTGAATCTTGAGGGAAACTATCCATTACAGCTATCCATGGCTGGGTTGGATGGGGCTTCTGAGAAACCTGATTTAGTGGAAGATGTCAACTAGACATCTAGAGATGGCAACTAGATGATTTTAGAGGCCCCTTCCAACTCAAGCCATTCTATAATTCTGTGATTAAGAGAAGGATTAGAATTACAGCTCTCAATTTTCAACAAACCTATGATCAATACCTCAGATACGTTGCAATGACATTTAGGTGTTCGCATTCTCAAATTCTCCAATAAACTCAAATCCCAAACAAAATTATATTTTGGCTCAGCATGTTACTTATTTTTCCTGATATCTCTTTCTTGCAAGCCGTCTAAATGAGGACTTCTGGTTGCCCCTTCCAGCCTTGCCCATTCTGTGATTCTGATTCTGTGAAATGCACTGAGCAATTACTCTGAGGCTGCAAATGCATTAATTTTTTTCCATTAGATAATTATCAAAATAATAGCAACTTGTAAGTCTAGCCAACCTATTTTGACCGACCTTCCTTCCTTCCTTCCTTCCTTCCTTCCTTCCTTCCTTCCTTCCTTCCTTCCTTCCTTCCTTCCTTCCCNCCTCCCTCCCTCCCTCCTTGCATGCTCTACTCTTTCTCACATATAAAAACCTCAAATGTAACTATTCTCAAATAATTTGTCCATGTTTTAGAGGTGATGTTATGCTGAAATTTTGTGTTGTTGCATCAGAAAAAGAGGAAAGGAGAGGCTTAGTGAACACACATAGTTAAAATGTATTTATTGGAGTGCCAAAACAAAATTAATGCATGCTGTTGGTTAAACTCTAACATGTCCTGATGTGTTAAGATGGCAAAAAAAAAAAAAAAGTTGTGGTTGTTTCAGAAACATCCCTTGTAGTTTTAAAGGGTTATTACTTGGAGGTGATAATATTCCAAATATACTTGCAGAATTACAGTCAAACTAACAAACTACTTCCTAATTCTCTTTGTTTGGAATTTATGAGAACTACATAAAATGAACGAGTTGAAGTGTGTAAATAACTTTGCATATTTCAAATTCATTGAGTAGGTTACCATTGTTAAGATGTTTATTCTTTTCAGTCAGAGGAGCAGTTCTTCACTGCTAATATTTCTGCCTTTGGGCATCTTGGCACCTACTGACACACCTGAAGTCCTACTCCCTTTTTCTTTTAAGGGAGTGGAATTACTGATGCTACATCATCCTGTGTGCATTTGTGTGGCTGAAGGACTTGGATTAGAACTCATTAATAAAAACAATTTTATGTACAGCTTTCTGAGCCGCTCAGTCAGGCTATGTGCCCACATCTGCCATAAAAGCACATTGTCTGGGGGTAGTTTTCTGCTCTGAAGCAGACTAAGTGTCTGTGTGAGAGATTTCAGCTTAAATTGCGTAAAGAGCTTTTTTTCTAATCAGTGTATCAGGATTTAATTCAGGATAGGTTCATATCAAATTGTGAACTTTTAAGCTATGTCTTTTATGGAGAATTTTTCTAATGCATTATTATGGAGCATTTTCCTAATGCTAAAGGTGGAAGAACAGAACCTCTTAAAGGCAAGGTAATTGAATTTTGTATAAATAACAGTGTAATATGTGGGATACTTCCTTGCATTTCTTTCAAAGCTGGATTAAATACAAAAACGCTTACCTTCCTCCTCCTAGGAAATAGAATTATTTATTCTAGTGAATCTATGTCTTGTTTCAGAAACATTAAATGAAATAAACTTTGTGTTCTTTTTACAGCTGTGTCTCTAAAGCTGCAATGACTCAAATGCAAAAGCAAGATAATTATTTACAAATATTAAAAAACATTTAATCTCTTTCATACATTGGAGAAATAAACTATATTTCTTTATAAGAATGTTTATTTGTCAGTGATGTTTTGACTGAGAGTAGTGATGAACCTTAGATGTCTAAGGTTCCTAGTGATGCCTTAGAAGGCAGTGTAAGAAATGGTGTAGCAATGTTCCTTATAAATAAGGTGGAAATCTTGTATCACCATGAGATTCAGTTTCTACACTAACTAAATTAGTCGCCATCTGAAAATTCAGGTACAATCCCAGATCAAACACAATAACAATTTAATAAAAACCTGGAGAGCTCCACACCAAACCTTCTCATGCATGTACCCATTGTCTTGCCCTGTTAATATTTTTAAATATCACTATCCTTGGTTATACCTACCCAGATGCAGTGATATAAATGTGTGTTGTCAGTCTGACTCCTCCAGGTTTTTTCCCTGTATCCCCCAGAACCTGCTGAGGCAGATAGAGCTCTCTGGCAGTCTGTACATCACCGAGTCGGCCATCAGCAGTTTATTCAGCCTTGCCCAGGAAGGCGCTCACCTCTGCCGCATCATAGCCAAGGTAAGGGATGGATGGAGCAACCCAAAGCAAACTAGCAGTGCAAGAAGCTCATCTCACTTAAGAGCAACAAAATTTACTCAGAGAAACTACTGTTTTCTCTTCTTCTGGTGCTTTTGCAAGACTTACAACTCTACAGAGTTAACTACCACAACTATCTCAGTAGAGGTTTTTTTTTCCAAAGAGGACCACATCCCCCCAATCTTTAATATAATTAAGCACAATACCTGTGCAAGCAGCTTCAGAAGTGGGGTCAGCTCCAACAGGCTTCTCAGCATTGCTTCAGTTGCAGTTGTCATCTATCTGGAGGTATTATCCCTCCATCATTTTGGGAACATTTTAGTGTCTCTCCTTTTTAAATACCGGCCATGTAAATGGAGAGAAACTTCACAATAGGCCATGGCTGTGGCTGACTGTGCAGAGGAACAGCAAGACCTCTTCAGCTGAGTGTTCTAACAGGGGGGTTAGAGATAATATTAATTATATATATATATATATATGTGTATATATATGTATATATATATGTATATATATATGTATATGTATATGTAACATTATTATATTAGTTATATATATTATTAAAGATACAAATTTAGAGATACTTTGAATTCAGTATTATCCTTTTACAGAAGACCCATCACTGCAGTTACTTCTGTCAGTGTGTGTTCTCCTTCACTGAGTAGTTGGTGCTAACTTTTGGTATAAATGAGTCATTCTGTCAAGATCCATGATACTGGAAATCCCTGCAGAGTTTGGATCTTGAAAAAGTGAGAAAGATGGGACATGGTGTCTTGTTGAAGATAGGATGATCACAACCACAGGGCATGCAGAAAGACAAAAACCTCCCTTCCCCAGCTACTGCTTGTGAAGTGCTGTGCCAGTTCCTTGTCCTGCTCAGAAGCAGGGTTAGACAGCAGCATTTAATTACTTCTGTGTGCCTTTAGATAGATATTTGCACCATAAAAGGTACTTCTCTATTCTGAAGGCTGAGAATGAGCCAGACTGAGAAACCTGTAGTAGATTCCGCCAACAGCCTGAGGGGTTTGTTTTTTTCCTAAATTGGTATTTGAGCTCCACTCAGTGGTACCCAAAAACAATGGTAAAATGTTGAGTATTGGGGAAGTGCAGAATTAACAAATTAATGAAAATTGGTCTTGGGCTTTTCATCATTTTACAACTGCCATAACAGTTTAATTTAGCAGAAGTGAAGTCTGACCTTTCATAAATCACTAAGCTAACATATTGCTAAAACCTGGGCATGTCACAGGTTTACAACTGAGGAAATGCATCCCCTTATGCAAAGAACCCTAAGTGGTCTTTGGCTGCCAATTTACAGCGGTGATTGCATCCCCTGTCCTGTGTCTCTGTGTGTCCCATGCACTGGGAAATGTATTTGTTCAGACTGACCATTATCCTTCACACTCTGCACTGCCTCAGTTTCCTGCATCACTGACCAAGGGGGCAGAGGAACTGTAACAAACCAGAATTTCAAATAGGTGAAGAGCTCTGTTCAGACAAGAAACTGAACAGCACTGAGCCTTGCTTGCTTTGGAGGTTAACTTGCACCTTTCCAAAAGCTCCCAATATGAATAAAATACGTTTTTATTTCTTGATTGCAAACTTGTCATATTTCCAGTTTTTGAGCAGATAACACATGAAATGCTGCTCATGATGTAATTCAAGTTTCATTTGAGACAGGTTTCACAATCTCTGAAGTAGAAATAAGACAGGCACTGGCTTTCGTTCACTATGACAGTAAAAAATTCAGGGGGATTTCAAAACAGAAAATAAACAAAAAATTAGGAATTGTTCTCAGTCATTATAAGGGTGGAAAAGGATTGAAGTCATGCATAGATTTCAAAATCTTTTATAGAATCCATAGTTCCCTTGAGAGCTGTCATAGTATCTGTGATAAAAACTAGCCTGATTATTTGTTTACCGTGAAAGCAAAATTCAACAGATTTATCCATGTAACCTTGAAGTTTCACTCTCCATGACAAAGTGTGATCTTGTAGAGCACTGCTGTTAGGTTTTTTCCTGTCCCAAGCTATAAGTTACAACCCTAAAGCACACCAATCTCGGATGTGCCCAAAAAAACCCCAAAAAAACCAATTAATATTGTAATGCTACAATATTACAGGAGCTGGTCTCTCATTTTACATTTTGGTAAGGGTTTCAGTCTTCTCTCTCCTTCTCCCCCATCCCCTGCTAATATTTTGCAGAAATTAAAAAAATCAAACGTTCTCCTCGATGCTGGAGCATCACCCATAATTTTATTCCACCTACAGGCATTCTTTAACACTTTCTTTTTTAGCATGTAACTTTGTAATCTGCTGTGAAAAAATCATGTTGCTGACTCACCCTGGAAGCCAGTAGTAGTTCTCACTAGCTGTCAGAGACATAAAACCTAAGGTCTCTAACAAAAATGAGTAGTAGCATAGGCAAGATAAGAAAATCAGCATTACTTGGAGCAAACGGGTTATAAATAGATTTGGATTTGTAACACCTAGAAGAACTGGTAAAAATCTGTTTACAAGTTACAATAAATAGGTCATAGAGTGATAAAGAAAATAGTATTTTTTTTAAAAAAAAATCATTTTACTGATGATAGAGTCCAATACCAACTGTATTGAGCAGAGTGCCATGATAATAGGCTTGTAAAAGCAAAAGGAACAAAAATGAAGATATTCATACCTCATAATAGCCCCCTTGGAGAATACTTGACTATTGGAATTCCTTATTGTTGTACAGCAGATCACTTGTTCCAAGAGGATTCTAATGCACCTTGCCTTATTTTCTTTATATGCCAGTTTCTTTTCTAGCAAGTATTTTTGATGAAGATCTTTTTGGAGATAATCTGTCAAGATAATTATAAATGTTGTCAAAGCCTTGATGAGAATTTACTGCAGTTTGTGTCATTTCTGGCTGAAGCTGCAAAATATTCCACCTTAGAATTAGATGCCTTTTTGCTTCCCCTCTTTATTCATTATATTGTATTCCAGGTGATTTCATTATCTAAACCTAGCCCTTCTGAACAGCTTTCCACAGAATTCCTGTTAATCCAATAGAGGAGAGAAGTGGGTTGTCAAGCAGTAAAGCAAGAGTTCCTCTCTTCCTCTGAATGTTTGCCCACTTGACCAATTTACGTATGTCCCTGTCAGATGGAATGGTTTGGCATCATTGCAAGAGATCCAGGGGATGAATCTTGTGGAAGGTGAATAAATTCTGAGAAATGCTCTGACCCCAGTGAGGGCACTAGTTTTGATGAGCCGTGGAATCAGGCTCAGTATTTTCCACCTGTCCAATATTTCATTTACAGATCTCTTGGTTCATTACTCATGGTCAATATTTTACAGCTTAGTAATGGCACATGGGGCACAAAATAAAGAGTACAGATCTCCTCCTGACAAATGCAGTGATAAATCACTTCCTGTCCATCAGAAGCAAAATCAGGGCATTTGGCATAGGAAAGGCTTGAAGCAAATGTGCCAACATCACTTAAACATTGCTAAATTTGTCCACAAACTTCTGTTTATTATGGCTAAAGCAGAGGATCAGATCACACCTGATTCAACTAAACTGTGGGAAAATTCAAATTGATAATGTATTTTTAAAAAAATAAAACACAAAAAAAGCTACTTTTTCTTGGAAATGACAGTGCAACAGCTTTTTTCCTATCTTTTTGACAGATAATTTAATTACTGCTGGGTGAAAGAGCAGTATCCTTTTGTGGAAGGAAAGATATGACTGAAACTTTTTTGTTAGTGTACTGTCTCCTTTTTAGTTTAAAGGCTCAGAAATATCTTTCTATAGCATTAGGCTATATATAGCAGTACTAGGTATAAAATAACAGATACATGAACACTTCTTACAATTCCAGAAATAAGTTTTACTCCTAACTATCTTAAGTGAGACTATAGTTTTAACTGATGCCACAGAAATTCCATATACTTGTACAAAAATATAATCTAAAACTTCTATCTGGAACATATGTTGAAGAGTTAATTTTGTCTAATTTTATAGGACTTGGTATAATTTTTTTGTTAGACTGAACAGAAAGTTTTGCTTCATCTATTATCCTCTACTGTATTCAAGCAGAACTAGTACAAAAATATAGAATTCTGAAAATAAGTAAAGTCTGAATTGTAGCCCAGAGGTTTCAAGTCAGTATAACCTGTGGAGATTTCAAATAATGGTTGAGGAAAAAATAGATTATTTCTGTGAATCTAAAAATACTTTTAAACAGCATGTACTGAAACAGGCTTAGAAAAAGGGTGTGCTTTTCACTTGCTCCATGATTTCAACTATTTTTAATTAATGCTGTAATCTGAACACTTTAGTCTGAGATCTTTCATCTATCATCAGTCTCTTAATGTCATTCATCCTCATCATATGTCTGATTCTACATCATAAAAGGCATATGTAGTCTAGCAGGTAGCACAACATTTTGAAATGAAAAAGAATTTTTAAAACACAATCACACAGAGTGCAACGTTGCTGGTATTTATTAATATTTTTACATTTGTTATATAAAATTTACTAAAACATATCTTTACAAGCTGTGCTGGAAATTAATTAAGGATAGCTACTCTAATAGGTACTCAAGTCTTTGTCACTGTAGTATTTATAGAAAAACTTTTAGGAATGCAAATTTCATTTATTAGAGGATAAAGATTTGGATTGTATCTGTTTAGAATTTGACACCCATTTCCACCTTATTTTCAGTACCTCTTCAAACATATGACCTTCCTGCTCATAACTTTAGCATCTAGTACATTTTGTGTGGAGCTCAGAAATGTAGAGTAATAGGAAATACATGGTAACAAAAATCCATTTTATAATGGATAACATGGCTGAAGGATCAGTTAAATCCCACTCTAATTGCCACCTATTGATGGTTCTTTGTAATTTTTGCAGAAATGTCAGGTTTAATTTAAATAGAGCTTGTAACTGGTAGAAGTCAATCACTTAAGCACACCTCCTGCTGAGGTTGTATTACTTTTTCATCACTTAGTGTACAAGCATTAATCCACTTGAGTTCTCTGTGTGAGCTTAGCACCTCTTTGTTGATGTAGTTACAACAGCTATTTTGGATAAACTACTAAAGAAATCTGCTCCCCATCCCAATCTTGATTAAGTACAAGGGAAACCTCTAGTACTACTTTCCTAATTGCTGTTTTTCCCCTGCAGGAAGGAGGTGTCGTTGCTCTCTTTAAGATCTGTCGCCAGGATTGTTTCAGGTGCCTTTATCCCCAGACCCTGAGAACATTGGCTTCAGTTTGCTGTGTAGAGGAAGGGATGCACCAGCTGGAAAAGGTAGGCACTTCAGGATTCCTTACTGACCTTCTCACAAAATAGAGAAGCCCTGTCATTAATGTCTTCCAGAAACTGATAATTTGATGGTGTTTTATACTGTGTTCCATACTATGCTCACCTTTTCTATGCTGAACACTTCTTCAGTCTTCAAAAAATTAGACCCAGCAATATCATTATCCTATTATCCATGTACAAATAAGCTTTATAAGTGGGGATAATTTTGTAAAACAGGTAAACATGTTAGTGACTACATCAAAAAAGGAGAACAAACTAGAGACAATATATTTTCTGGACTCTCTAAAGTGTTTAGAAACTCCACTGTTTCAAATTGTCCTTTAAAGACAAAAGGCTTTACACTTCTTTAAATCTTTTCCTGATAGTCTGACAGGGCTCCTGCTTCTGGCAATGCTGCAGCTTGTCAGAGTTGTAGTTGCACAGAAAGAAGTGGGACAGATACAGTCATTAGTCAATCAAAAAATGTGTCTGCTAATCAGTAATAGCTTTCATAACAGCCACTTTTAACTGTGATGGCCAACATCAAAACATTATCCATATAAAATTATATCAGCTTCTTAGGCTCCTTTCTCACATTCACTATGTACTTCTATGTTTTGGAAAAAAAAAAAACCACTTCTGATCACTAAATCATGATCTCATCCTTTGTATTTCATAAAACAGTCATCTTCCTCAGCTGAATAATGGCCTCTTCAAGTTAATGATAAATGATTTCACTGCCTCTTTACATTGACGTGTCTTGTAATTTACTGCCCCAAATTCAAGCAAACTGTGACAGAACACCTGCAGCAAAAAGCAAGTCTCTGAGTTTACAGTAAATGAAGATGACTTAAATTTTTTTTGACATAATGCTGCTTCAGACTGACACCAGAATCAGTCTAAAAGGATCTTTCATTATGTCCACTATAATGGTGGAGTTAATAGAGTTAGAAATGAAAAAGATTGATTAAAGTCACCCGGTCCAATTCCTGGCAGCGTCAACATGTGTTTAACGTGGCCCATATCAGAGCTGATGGAACAGGAGTCCCAGGGAAAGCCAACAATCTCAAGCTCACATTTTTTTAATCTGCTTTAATGTTGGCCCCAAGTAAAATTGTTCAGAGTAAAGTTGATCACAATCAGGATTGGAGCGAGATTTAAAGGACTTTTAAATTAATTCCCTACATTCAAGGTATTTCAGTTCTTAAATCATCATCTTCAAATATGAATAGTTTTTTTCTTTCAAAATTTGAAGTACTCTTCCAAAGAGCACAAAAGAGAGTTAAAAGTATCAGCAATCTTATAATTACAAAAGTTATCATAGGACTTCTTATCTGGCAAAAAGGGTGTCTTCTTTTATCCAATGAAGTATCTGTGTGGTGGTGAATAATTTAATTTCTCTAATATGAATATCATTATGCCACCTAGTGCATTAAAGTATTATTTTTCAATTAGATTGCACAGCCATTGCAGTGTTTAAAAAACCATTTATAAGAGAGTAGCAAGAGCTATAATTTCTTATGAAACACTATTCTGAGAGGTGAACTAAAAGGGGGTGGTACACTTTCTGCAGTAATTGCAGTGCTTAATTACAAAAGACATCAGGAATATTGTTTATTTTTCCAATGCTCTTTGATCTTGCCAATTCAGTGCTCATTTCTAAAGAGGTAGAAAATTACCTATTTTAATAAAAATAATTGCTTTCAATTTTTAAAAAAAATCTATTCTTGTTCTTCCCAGACACACATATATAAATATATCACGCTGGAAAAAGCCATTTTCACCTTTTTATCAGCTTGATAAACAAGCTGATCTTTGCTATAATTGCAGTGATAAGGTAGTTGTTGCAATGATTAGCTCTTCCTCTTCTAGGTGAATCTAGTTGGGTCTGTGTACAATGATATAAAATTTGAGTTTGGGACAATTATTTCACTTGCAAGTACTTTACTGAATTTTGATAATATACTGGTACTCTTTGGTGTACATTGAAGTGCAGAGCTCCAGGAATTGAAGAGTGACAAATTAGGTAATTAAAATAGAAAAATGGTGAAGAAATAGTCTCATTCTGTGCCTGAGGACTGCATAAGTAGATGTTCTCTGTAAACTGTGCACAACAAGTGGTAATTTTGGTTCTTCTAGCTGCTTCAAGCTGCTTGTGGGTGTCTGGTTGTTTGATACACTTTAATTTTGTAATCCACTGTGACACCAGCGGTTTTGAGATCATTATTTGCTCTGAGCTTTCTGACCAGTCCTACTTCAAAGTGAAGTGGAGACACCCTGGAAAAGCAACCAGGACATATTATTCCTATAGATGTTTGTCCCTGTACCCAAGAGAGCTTTGTCATCTGTGTCTTGTGGTACTGAAGCATTTTTAGGGGAAAGCTCACTGCACCAGAAAAGTTGGTTATTCTTGTTCTGGGCATTCCAGAGTTTATACAGACAGATACAATAAATAATATAGGTAATTGGGAATAGAGAAAATAGATAAAATCCCTAACTCCAAACTGAAAGGAGTTTGTGAGGGTTGAGCATGACAGAAACTGAAGAGCAAGTTTAGTGCTGCACATGCAGACAGACCTGGTGGTGTGTCCTGCTCTGAGGTTTAGGACACAAATACAGTGGGGTAATGGGAGATTGGTTCTCAAGATTTGTTGAGGGTTCTGAAGAGAAGAATATCTGAACATTCATGAATGTGTTTTGCAAACTTAATTCACCTCAATGTAACAAGGAGAGTTGGAGACACAGAATTGGGATAGATTATTGTATCAACTTAGTGACACCTAAGGTTCATAAAAAGTAAAAATTGTGATCTTGTTGATGAACTTCTTGCAAATTGCATTGGGAATGACTGTACTTCAAGTGATGCTTTCATTATGAAGACACACACACAAAATATAACACATATGGTCTTCAACATGGAGCAAGCTTGCCTGGAAATAGGGCTTGTGCTTTAATAGATTTTATTTTTCTCTAAAGCAATTCTTCAGGCCTTACCCCTCTGAGCATACATTAGGTCCTTGTTTTGCAGAGCTGTCTGAACAAAGTGTCTCCCATACATTTGGTGACATGCAGCCTCATTAAAGTCTAAAAACTGTGGCAGTTTCTCTGCCTCAGGGCTGTCTGTACAAAAGTTGGTGGTGGTGGTGGTGCTAAAAGGCATGGCTTTCCAATTTTTACCCTACTGAAGCTCAGTTATGTGGTCTTCCCTTAGGCTTCTGTGGCAATAAACATCCTGCTGCAATAAAAGAACTGCGGAGCTGGTTCAGAAGCAAATAGAAAACAGTGCAATGCACTGCATTTTTTTACTGTGCATGTGAAATGTTATCACATTAAAAAATGAAGCTTAGGTGGGATCTAGACCAAGGGTCAACTGCCACAAAAACAGGATGATTATACAAACAGCCAGCTGCCTAAATCTTAACAGTGTGCTGAGTATGGTTACTTACATTGTTTAAACCACTCCAGAAAGCAAGACACCTGGAATCAGCTCATTAAGAGGAGATAATCCAGAAACACTGGTGACAACAGCTGTTACTTTCATTAGTAAAACCTCTTTAACAAATGACACAGCTTTTATCACTGTGCTTTAAGCGAAATTTCCCAGAAATAGATTACAAATTACTTTGAATTCTTCATTTAAAGCACACTAAATCAGATTACCTCCAAAACAAGAAGGGTAAAGAAAGTATGAAGTGCAATTATTTGTGGCTGAGAAACTAAAATCTATTATTCACTGAACCCAGTCTGAGTTTAGAAAAACCATATTCTTATACATCTGTAATAACATCTGTATGATGGTAATGCTCTCTGTCCATGATACAGCTGAAAAAACTACTATTTCTGGGGAAAGAAGTAAAATGTATATTACAGAACCTCCTACTACAACTTATTTATAGTTTTTGAGGTGAATGTGTGTGGATTACTTATTTCAGCTCTAATCACTTTGAACTTTCAGTTTCAAACATCAGTTAAAATCATGGAGTAACTTTGTCTCAGGTGAAGTCTCAGCTACTGAAACCACTGAAGTCCATGTGACTGCATGGACTGAGACAGAAATGGGAACTCTCTGTTAGGAGGAAATTCTCACTGTGAGAATGGTAGAGCACCAGAACAGATCTCCCAGGGAAGCTGTGGATGTCGAATCCCTGGAAGTGTTCAAGGCTAGACTGGATGAGGCTTTGAGCAGCCTGGTCTAATTGAAGATGTTCCTGCCTATGGCAGGGAGATTGGAAGTAGATGATCTTTAAAATCCCTTCCAAACCAAACTATTCTATGAACTATGGAGTGGGCTTTGATTATGAGAGCTTGGATGGTATGAAGGTAAAGTCACTAATTTGAAAGGCTGAATGTAAATGTTAGCTGGTGGCCCATGGATTTCACTGAATGCTCCACAATGGTGAATATTTTAATTTTCATAGTACCTGGTTGGCAGTGGGAGTAACTTTGTACAATGCAAGAGATGGAAAATTTTCCTGATCTGAAGGAATTATATAGCTTCCTTCATATTTCATTATTCCAAATGCAAAATGTCAAGGGATATTATTAAGAATACTCTTCTAGAAGAGGTGTGTGAGACTGCCAGTTTAGGTAGGAGAAACCCTCAGGTTGCTACATTTAAAAGCATGTCTGCAGGTTGTTTCCTTCTTTTAGGAAGTGCAAATTTTCTGAAAAACAGGGAAATGTTGATTTTTATTGTGGCAAATGGTGGCTTATTTATAGGATTTCCAACAATGAGAAAATTTCAGAAAGGGTATAGCTCTGCCTCAGCCTGTTAGCCCTTAATTCTCCTCAGAGGAGAGCTTTGTGTTACTTAGTTGTGTTTATTTGCTTCTTAGTTGAAAAATTATCATGGCCTATTTTATTCATTTCAGAACAAGGATTAGGTGGTCTCAAAGATGATAAAAATGGCATGGTTATTTTATTCTAAAATGAGTTCAAGAACGCAAATGATTAAGATTAAAAAAAAAAAAAAATTAAAAATGGTCATAATTTTCAAAGTTTAGTTT